GGATCCATATAGCTGACTATGAATGAAATGTCCAAGAATCCAGAAGTTGCTAAGTCCACGAGACTGGATGCCTCAGCTGATCTTCAGTAGATGCTGGAATCCTGAAGAAGTAGGATCTAATGTGCACAAGACTAAAGTAAGCAAAGAGCAGAAACTCCCAGATTCCATATCCTTATATAGGCTTTGAGCAAAAGGTGTGTCCCATAATAAAGGCCTTTGTCTTTCTGCCTCAAGATTCAGTTTAAAGGTGTGTCTCTTCTAGCTTCAAGGTCTGGAGTAAAAGTGGATCTTCCTACTTCAAATTAAGCAAAACAAATAGATAAATAAGGAAGTAAACATACCTCATAGGTGTGCCTCCATTTTTACATTTAGTTAATTCCAGATGTAGCCATCTTCATGACCAAGAATAGCCATCCCAGGGTGATTCTGGGAGAAATTCCAGAAAACCACTGGGCACTGCATTGTTTGTGATCCATTTTCTGCTGCCTCTCAAATTCAGTTACTGATTCCCAAGAAATAGCTGATGCTATCACTTACCTGCTTGGATGCCATAGTATAGATGCAACTTATGAGCCTCCATTGGTACATAAAACTGACAGTTTCTTTAAAGATCTTTAAGAAGTCATGATGGCAAGAAATACTGCAAGTTGGAAATCCAAGAAAACAGGCAGGTGTACTCAGTTCACAGTATGATGGCAAGGAGGTCCTTTTCCATTATAGGCCTGGGAGCTCAGAAATTTATGGCTATGTTGATCCAACCTATAAAATGGACAAGCAAGGAAGAATGTCTGCAGTTCACTTTCAATGCTCACATTTCTGGATGGAATCAGAGGTCTCTAATGGAAGGATGATGTTTGGCAGGCATTAAAGAATCAGGAGTAAGCCAGTTGTGGTGGAACACACAGGTAGGATTTGCTGAAGAATCAGGAGTACATTGATGAATACTTTTAAGAGGTCAGATACTCAAATTAACCATGGCCACTTTACCAGCTCCACAAATACTTGTAGTCTAGGGTGCAACAAATGATACTCATACTGATATAAAATAAGGGAGTTTGACAATCCAAAAAAACAGAAATGTATTTATTCACAGGATTGTGAGAAGTCTCACAATTGTGACACAGACGACAGGTGCCTGAAACCATTAGAATTGATTCAGGTGACATTTACTTTACCCTCAGACATACAATGGTAATTTGTGTCTACATGTAGGTACATTATTTCCCTATGGAGCTAATGGGAATCATTCTTTATCAGTATTTTTCTGAAGGAGTTGACTATACTTCTCCCCTTGAAAGAATTTCAAAATTATGCAATAATTTCATGATCAGAGAATGAGAGAGGCCCTAGTGGGAAGGGAAGGGAAGGGAATGCTTGAAACACCAGATTGTAATCATAGATTAGTGACAGCATGTACCTGCAGGGTAATTTTATAGAGATATCCATTACATTTCTTTATTATATATTCAATAGATAACAAACTCTTAACTTCTCCTGTCTGGGTCACATTTTATTTATGTGTTTAGACATAATCACACACATACGTATACGCATGTAACAACAACAGCAACAACAAAAAAGAGGCCATAAATTAAGAGGGCAAGAGCATATGGGATGATCTAAAGAGAGGAAAAGGAAGGGGGGATTATATAACTATATTAAAATCTCTAAAATAAAAAAATTAAAAGTTACTAAAAATTTTAAATAATAAAGACAACTCTGAAGAGAAACCTATCTACATCCCTTTGGCAAGAGTATTTTTGAAAGTAGAAATGCACATATGGATATTATACTACTTTAACAGTATAATAAATTATGTTCTAAGTAAGAGTTTTTTGTTTGATTACTTAAGTATAAATAATCTTTTTTTTTTCAAGACAGGATTTCTTTGTGGCTTTGGAGGCTGTCGTGAAACTTGCTCTTGTAGATAAGTCTAATCTTGAACTCAGAGATCCGACTGCCTCTGCCTCCAGAGTGCTGGGATTGAAGGTGTGAGCCTCCACTGCCCAGCTAAGTGTAAATATTCTAAAGGTGTTAAATACTGACAGTCAGCATACAGACTACTATACAGTATATGGTGATGTGTGGTAGAGGTTGTCACTGGACTTTGTCACTTAGTTAATTCAGCTAAGAAAGTGGCACAGCCTCGTATTTATTTTGAATGCTCCCTGTGAATAGTTTGAAAAATTAACTTTGTATCAGAAGTTTCAACATTACCTTTCTTAATGAAAAATAAAAATGCTTAATTATTCGTCAATACCAGCTACAGCATATTTTTGAGAAGTAAGCACATAACACCCATTTTAAATCTAAATACCCACCTATACTAGTAAAATAGATGAATATTTCATGCTAATTGTGTCTAATTATTAAAAATATCTGGTAAATGACAATGATTTTCAAAGCATCACATTTCACATTCGTGCATTTATAAATACTTCATTGAAATGAGTGGCACTAAGCTGATGCAAATGGACTAATATTTATAACTGAGAAAAGAAAGATATCTATGTCTCAGTGCATATACTCTAAGTGATCTTATGCCTGCATGTCAATTATTACATAAACTATGAAGATGGTGATTTGTGACTTGAAATGAAGATGTCAGGTTCTATTTGTTTTGGCTTGTAAGCATATTGTCTCCTATATAGAATATGCTGCTACTTGCAGTTACTGATCAGATGTGGACAGTATCTCAGAGCATCAACGCACAATCAATCAGAGTACTGGAGATGAGACCAAATGGGATAAAAGGAGCATGAAGTAAAAATATTATAAGGATGACTTTGAACACTACTTTTTTACAAATTTTCACTTTTAGGTAAATTATTCTTAATTTCCCCTATTATAGATATGCCAATATCCATGCTTTTAAAATAAAATTGGGAAGATAAGAATTCTGGCTCAGTGGCTAAGAGCACTGACAGCTCTTCTAGATAACCTGGGTTTGATTCATAGCATTACATAGTGGCTTACAATCCTCTATAGCTCCAATTCCAGGGGAACCCACACACCCTCTTCTGGGTTCTGTGGGCACCTAACAAACACACAGTGTGCAGATATACAATACATCAATGCACATAAAATAAAAATAGCTTAAAATAAAATGAAATAGATAAGGTTCTTTTTTCCTGATGTCCATGTGGTATTTCTCGAATGTAAAACCATCCACATTGGGCATTAGCCTTTAGCTTGTGAGCATATTTCAAATTCTTCAGTTGTTTTAAGCTTTCCAAGCTAGTTTCACTATTTTATACCAGGAGTGGCTGTGTGTTCTTTATAGTTTAGAATGTTTCCAAAGATGGTAACATTGTTTTGTGGTATTTCAAAATGTGGTATTGTGAACTAAACACTCAGCTCAGCGTTTGCTGTTTTATCTCACTTCTGATAAACAAAAGTTTACAATATGTTTTTGTGCTTATAGGTCACATACTAGTAGGGTCACATACTAGTAAACTTTACTACTGAATAACATCATAAAAAGCCATCCAAGAACCTTAGTGTTAAACAGGCAGTTATTTCATGCTGACTTTAGCTCCCATTTAGCCTCAAGACTTGGATTTGTTGTCTGTTGCAATCCTGTGGAGAAGTGGTCCTTGTGATATATTGGGCAGCAGAAGCTCTTCATAGACAAGGTAAACTACTAGGTCAGTAGCTCCAGACTCTCAAGCCTCTACTCTGATATCTCAGGGTTTCTTATGTATATTGATCCAGCATTTGTTTAATGAAAACCCTCAAAAGATAATTACCTCAAAGTGGCAAAGGACCATGTATCCTTTTCCTTTAAGTGTCAATTTGTGGTGATATATTGTTGTTGATTTAATTAAGCTTGCCTGGGATAAGAAGGCAAAGCCAGCCACACAGCTAGCCCATAGAAGCCAGACAGTGGTTTTACACACATATAATCCTAGGATTTAGGAGACAAAGGCAGATGGATCTCTGTGAGTCCAAAATCACCCTATGCTACAGGAGAGTGAATCAGTCTACAAGAGTAACAGAGGTCAAGACTTTAATCCCATCACCAGAAAGTATATAAGGAAGAAGAAAAGATCTCATGTGAGATTCAGTTTCCTGTCACAGGGAACCCAGGAACTCCATTTAAGCCTTAGTACAGGTAAGAGCTACTCTTTGACTGCTTTGCTTTTCTGATCTTCAGATTGAACCCCGATGTCGGTCCCTGGGTTTTTATTATTTGTGTTACAACAATGAACATGGGTAGGCAAAGGGGCTGTTCACAGGAGGCAAAACACACACAGACTTCAAAAACAATAATGCAGTCTTTGCCAGGACATATTCAATAAACTTCCCTCCCCTCCTCCCCATTTGCCTCCTCTCTCCTCCCCTCAATTCTTCTCCCCTCCTTTTTCTTCTCCTCAGTCTAACAGAGAAGTAACAAGTGGCAATTGAGCTTTTGGAGTTCAGCTCACCAGTAGGCAAGGCACTGATGAGTAGATCTCAGATAAGCAAGGCCCCAAGGGCTTCCACTCCAGAATGTCTCTTGCTACTGCTGTGCCTTTACATGTTTGCCACTGCTACTTTTAATCTGATATGTGGCATGGTGTGAATGGGTGTGTGGGGATCACTACTGCCTTAATGCAGTGTGACTACCTCCTGGAATATCCTGTACCACTGTGCATTTTAACCTGTGGATTATTATGAAGTTGATTTCTTCTTAAACTGTACTGTTTAATTGAACTAATGATTTATACAATAAAATCTTATTTTAACATTTTGATGATTAAGGACTTTTTAGCAAATGTAATAAGGGATTCTAATAGAGGTTAGTTTCGTAGGAAAATAAATATAGGTAGAGGTAGGATTAAGTGTTGTTCCCACTCCTGATAAAGCAGGGGATGCAGAGGATCAAGAATAAGAACAAAAATGTGTCTCACAGCTAGGACATATGAGATTCACTTTGCATAGACCATGGTTTAGGTTAATCATTAAGGAAAACAAACCAATCCTAGGAATTAGGCTAACTCAAGATCTTTTTTAATATTGGGAAATATGTTCATGGATTTCAGTGTGCATCATAGCTAAAACAAAGCTTTAGACAATTGACTTCATGTAAGTTAAAAACAAAGGATTGGATGGTTAGTTAAGATATATTTGCAGAACTCTAAAATATGAAAATGAAACAAATAACCTGTTTTTTTTTTTTCTGACAATTATGAAACTACTGCCTATGTGAGGAATTGTAGCTGAGCGGCTCCAAATCTTTGAGAAATCTAAAATAATGCTTGTATAGTGATTATGTAGAAAGTGTAACTTTTTGTTATAGGGGGAAAATTCCTCCTATTTGTAATGAACTTGGTGTGGGGGATGTAAAAAGTGTGTCTGAAAAATAAAGAAGTAGAAGGAGCTTTTTTTTCCTCAGTAAAGAAGTTGTGTGTTTTTCTTGCCAACTCTGCATCACATTTCCTGTCTTTCTGACCTGAAAGGCTGGACTCTATGGACCTTCTAGGAACAGTATTTAATTCTTTAGTGCTAAAAGTGCTCTTCTCTCCTCCTGTCTTTCTTTCTCCTCCCTCTTTCTCTAGATACAGGTTACAGATTCTTCAAGAAATTATCTTCCCCTGCTACTTTGAGATTGGTTTTTCATAAAGTGACTTTCTCTGGCTCTTAAGGTGGTCTTAAATTTGCAGTTGTTGGGGTCCATGAGATGTCCCATAAAAGACCACCAGCCATGTATGCAAGCAGCAAAAACTTTTATTTGCTACACAATGATATTCAAGGTAGAACAACCCTGAGGGGAATATGTAGGCTCCTTTTAAGCACAGCTAAGGGGAATCTCAGAAGCAGTTAGGTCATTTTATGATTGGTTTAGCAACAGCAGTTTTATTAGTACATTTCTGGGTTGGCTGGTGGCTGGGGCTGGCAGGGGCTAGCTGGGGCAACAATTGCTCCATTTTGGGCATTTATGGTCAAGTTTCAAGGTGCAGGTAGAGGATTTGCCCCTGTTTGATCATCAACTTGTGATACTGTAGGAGGTGGCCCAAGCTTGGTTTGTGCTATCTCCCTAGTCCCTGTTGTCAGGGGCATAGAAGACTGATTATCCATTGTTGGTGGTTCTTTCAGAAACTGCTTTCTCAGTCTCAGAAAAGTGAAACTGAGACCTGATCTCTGACAAAAGACTGAGCACCCTATTATGGAGTCTGCTTGGCTCTCTCACAGTGATCCTCTTGCCTCAGGCAAACAATGCCAATATTTAAGAATATATCATATACTACTGTTAACTAAACATGTAAAGTTCCTATAGACTTAATATTTGCTTTTAAGTAGATGTAGGAAGCTTTGCTCACTTGTGAATCATCTTTACTGCCTTGGAATATGCAAAAATACCTTTGAGATGAACTGTTAAAATGTAACTACAATAGTAAAACATTTGTCTTTATTAAACTGTCTTAATATTTTTTGGAGTATTTTCTCTTATCTTGTCAAATGCAAATGGACTAGACATTGTTAATGTATTCATTGTCTGTATATATGGTATATAGTTATTGAATTTATTGCAAATAGTTTTTATATTAGTTATAGCTTTTTTCATTTTAGAAATAAAAGGGGAAATGTGATATTTTGTTTGTAATCTAACAAATAAAGTTTGTCTGAAGAACAGAGTACGGAGGTAAGCCACTAGTTAGCCAGACAGGATGAGCAGTGGTAGCCAGGCAGATGGATCTCTACCAGTTCAATGTCACCATGGGCTACATGAGAGTGAATAAGTCTAAAAGAGAAACAGAGCTCACACATTTGATACCAGCAGTTGGGATGACAAACTTTAATCCCAGCACTAGAAGGAAATATAAGGCAGGGGCTCAGTGCAGTCTGAGGTTTGGTGGAGAGCATTGCAATCTACAGTCACACTGAGTACAGGATTGCCCCTTTTTGGTCTTAGCCTTGGTAGACGTAAGAACTCTCTAGTGGCTTGGCTACTTTGCTTTTCTGATATTCAGTTTGAACACCAATATCTTTCTCTGGTTTTTTATTATTCATGCTACAATTTTTAATTTATCTTTGAAAATATTGTACATTTACCTAATGTATTTTAATAATTTCCATCTACCATTGTCTCCTCCTTCCTCTTATTGCCCCACAGTATATCTCCCTCCTTACTTTGTGTTCTCCTTTTCATCGTTTTTAATAAACCTGTGTCAATTACTAGTGATTCTTTATGCGTGAATGATTGGAGCTATTCTATGCCTGGCACCAAGATTTATACTAAATAAATCATGTCCTCTGGGAGTAGCATTTAATTATTTACTGATAAAAGTTCTATAGAGTATCTACCAAGACCACATTTTTCTTATTCATTCTTCCACTGTTGGTTTCATAATTTAGTTATTGTGAAGAGTGTTGCAATAAGCACTGATATGCAAGCATTAAACTCTGATAAAAAGAAATGATAGCAAATCAAAAATTGAAAATAATATTGATCTAAAAAGACTCAAAAATGAGGAGGAAAATACATGTTTGGATGGAAGACATTTATCTAAACTATTAAGAAAATCTTGCAATTCCAAATGAATATATTTTTATTTTTTATTTTTATTTATTTATTTATTTATTTTTGGTTTTTTGAGATAGGTTTTCTCTGTGTAGCTTTGGAGCCTATCCTGGCACTCGCTCTGGAGACCAGGCTGGCCTCAAACTCACAGAGATCTGCCTGCCTCTACATCCCGAGTGCTGGGATTAAAGGTGTGTGCCACCAATGCCCAGCTCCAAATGAATATAAAAAAAAAAAAATTGATGAGCAGGTAGAATAGGTAAATTTGCTGAGACCAATGATATATTCAACAAATTTTATATTTATACATTGTCCTACAGGATTTTTCAGGATGAACAAAGCATTAAATTAAATTAAGATGCAAAACCAAGCACTTGGAAGCTGGGAGCACTAGAGAAAGAGTTTAAAGTTAGCTAGCCTCAGATACTTAGTGAATTGGAGGACAGTCTGGATTAAAAAAGAAACCATTTTTTAAAAAGATCCATACAGTTTTTAATGTGTTATGAAAAAGAAGAAAAAAACTAAGATAAATAAAGAAGAAACAATGTATATATTGGCAGATTTGAGTTTTACTTAGCGCTTTGATTTATATGCTGAATAAAACCAAGAAAAACCAGTCTGAAATGTGAAGCAACAGTGAAAGAAAATCCAATTATATTGTTTCCTTGCTGCCCAGTACAATCTGAGAGCAAGCAATTTCCAACTGTATAATTCAAATTGAAACATGATTAGAATTTCATGACAGTAATACCTTTAAGCAAAAAGCAGGACCTCTCCTAGAAATACTTTCTAAAATTAGAGTGTATATTTAATGTGAGCTTCAAAAATTAATATTTAATTATTCTACATAATATATAAATGTATGCTGTAGCATGTTTTCAGAGAATTATTCTTTCTCTTAAAAACTAATAATGACCAACTGTTATTTAACATGAATTCTGGAAACATCATACAAATTCTTTAAATTCTACTAAACAACTTTGTATATGATTGTTTATGTGCATGAATTACTCCTCAAAATTTATCAGATAAAATGTGTCTAGTTAATCTAAGAATGAAACAAGCTTGCTTCACATGTCAATCCCAGCTCCCTCTCCCTCTCCTCCTCCCACTCCCCTACAATTCCCCCAATCCCCCATCCCATTCCCCCTCAGCTCCCCAGAAAGATTGGGGCTGTGAATGGGGGAATCTACAAAGTCTGTCATATCATCCAGGGCATGGCCTAGACCCTCCCCCATGTGTCCAGGCTGAGAGAGCATCCCTCCATGCTTCTTGAACACCTTCATTCATTGCTGTTGGCTTGGCCAGAATCCTCTGGGCAAAAAATTTAGAAAGGGATTAAAGCATGATTCATATGGCAGGAGGTAAGTACTTCAGGGAGATACTGGTGCTAATTACACCAGTAATTAATATAAAGGTAATGGATTCAGAACTCTCTCATTCTCCAGATACCCAGAGATGATGTGATGCACTTACTGGAAAAGTGGGTTCTGTATTTTCTCTCCTCTCTCCCTCCCTCCCAAAGTTCCTCTGTAACATTGGGGCATCCACCTTCAGCCTATAGGTCACAGTATGTCTAGCACACTTCTCCATTTCAACAGGAACCCTTCAGTACTGTCTTGTTTTGTAAGTTCAGCAGTCACTTTCTTGTGGGTCCAGCATGTCCAATTTATACAGCAACAAACAGTCCAGGCAAGCACAGTTTCTGGCTCAAATGGCTAATCTTGCCATGTTGAAAGCAAACTCCATAACGAGTTTTCTGACGTAATTGGTGTGCCAGGAGCAGTTGTGTCTCACTGCAAAGAAAAACCCTAAACCATTTAAGTGCCATATATTCTGTATGTCTGTGAAAGGTTTGAAGAAAACCTATCCATCTCAAATACATCTCTGTAAATCTAGAAAATCTAACTAACCTAATTATAAATTCTGACTATTATAGGTAACTATATAACCTGTAATTAATTATGTATATCATTTTAAGAGATCTGTATAAGCACCATACCTAAACAAGAGGAGACATATACATATCACAAAGTTGACCTTAAAGTTGTATCAATAAATGAAAATCCATACCCATGTAAAGTATTCATTCCCATATCCTATTCCCCCCTTTTCA